TTCACGCTCAATTTGATTTTTCGCGGTTTGACTTGTGATTTCTTTTTGCATTTTTATTGTTAAAAGAAATCTTCACTATCAAACAGCAATAGTTTAAAGGTCACGAAAAACGTGATCGACTTCTAATTTCGAAAATGGAAATTAATTATCAGATGTCCCAGCGAAATAAAAGTTTTACCTATTGCTCCAGTTTTCTCAAATTGGGTTAATTTTAGCATAAGAGTTTCCATCATAAATTGTTCTACAAATTCAAAGAGCTTTCAGGCTATCGATTTTTTTCTTCGAAGTTCAAAAGTTGAAGATTTTTGAAAAAATCTGTCTGTTTTTTCAGTTTCCTTGCGTTCATTACTCTTTTCCAACTGTCAGTTGGCTATGTCAATTTTTTTCTGTTAACTGCGTTCGTTGGCTCTTTTCCAACTTTCTGTTAGCAAAGTTTTTGGTATTCATTTTCATGTCTTCAATTCAATTCAGATTCAATTCAGATTCATTCAAAAATTTTCAAGCAGAATAAAAGTTTTAACGGTCGTGTTACCTCATTTGGGTTACTTTTATTGGATATGTTTCAAGCATAATCATTTTCAAAGATTTAGGCTCCTAGATTTGTTAAACTGCTCAAAAGTTATACTTTTGGGCTTTTCGTCCAGTGATACTTGTCACATTCTGTTATAGGAAAGAAGATATACAATAAATTTCAGTTAATTTCAGTTACAATTAATTTAGTTCTCGGCTGTATGAAACTTGTATTGTTCTGTATTTGTCAATATGACTAAACTATATCAAAATTATCCATTTAAAAGCATTTGCTGGCATTCGGATTGTAATTTTTAGATTTCTCAGCGGTATAAAAAATTATCTATTTTTCATTTGTTTTCATTGTTAGATTGTCTTATGAAAAAGTTTCAATCATCAAAGGAGTTTTATATTCAAGGAGCTTTTAGGACATGTATTTTTATTGGAAATTTCTAATTATCAAAAGAAACAAAGTATTCCGGTCGATAAAGTGTATTTAAAAGTTGAAATATATTTTGATAACTTTAAATTCGTTGGCTGTTTTTTCATTTCCTATAAAGTTCACTTTAAATCAAAATTGTTTTGAGTGCAGAAATTTTGAAGCTGGAGCTTTTATAGTGAATCATTCAAGACAAATTTTTGTACTAATTAAAATTGAAAATAGCCAATTTTTACCGGTTGGTAGAGTGAAACAATCGGTATTTATATCTGCGTTGATTTTTGAATCGTCAGATTCTTTCCTGTATCACCAAATAAGGCAACCGTAGTTTCGAAGACTGATAAGACAATTCTGATAGAGAAGACTGATTGGTGATTTTTTATCTTTGCCCTGCCTAATTCTCGTAATTTTAGACAATGCTTATCATGTTTTTGATTTGAAAAAAAAAACGGTAACGTCATTGTTTTTGAAGTGCGTAAAATCATCTACAATTGTTCACAAGTAGCACAGAAAGTTCCGACCGCAATCTGTAGAAAACTACGGTTTGGATAGTTTTTTTTTCCAAATGAATGTAGTTTTTTCTGCTTGGTGTGATAAAAGGATCTGACGTAACAATATAATTTAGGCATTTTAGACAGTCATAGTAATATAGGCAAATTAGACAGTTTTGTAGAAAAATGACTAGGAAAACTAAAACTAAGTTTCAAAAAAATTTTGGTTCCCAAAATGAAGCTTAAAAACTCCAACAAATAGTTTTACTCGCTCAAAAATAAGTTTGAAGGTTTTAAATTAGGCATAATTCAGCTGTTGTAAGCCTGCTCGCTTGCTTTATCTGCTCGAATTAAGACGATAAATCAAAAATTTCAAACCGGTTTTTCTCGACACTAGAAAAAATGAATTTTTAAGGTGGTCGAATCACGACTGAAAGGGCTTTAATATAATATATCACTCAAACCAGTCTGATGATTATTTGTGGTACTTGATTTTGTCTCGAAAACAAAAAGAAAAAAACTAAATTACTCACGAATACGAAGTTCCTCGCCATTTTCAATGGTCGGAACAAAAAGAAAACAAAAGCAAAAGTTCATTCGTGTAGAATTTTTTTTGAGCTATGAGTTTGATTATTTCTGCACATTTGCTGGAAGCTATCAAATTAGGAACTTACAAAATCGTCTTTTCTGATTTTAAAAGTTTCGAACTGAAAAATGCTAATTTTTTTCCAGATGTTCATGATTTGAGAAATCCAAGGAAGGGATCTAACACGTTAGTCGAGTCTCATCGCTGCATTCTGTTTAAGAGTAATGAACGTAGTGAAGACTCTTTCTTAAAATTGGCATAAAAGTCTAATAACTACAGATATGCATTCATACATATTGATGCATTTATGAATGCAATTAGGTATATATTGCACTTGATGAGTTCAATTGAAATTCATCTGCTGAAATCGACAAATATAGCACTCTCCAAATACGAACGTGGAAATGGCGCAAAAAAACGTGAAAGATTTCTAGTTTCCAAATTGGAATTTATTTTTTTTTAGCTTTCCAGCGGAATAAAAATTGCACCTGTTGAGCCAGTTTTCTCAAGTTGAGTGTATGTTATCAAAAAAGCGCCAGTCATAAATCGTTCTGGAAAGTCAAAGAGCTTAAAGAGCATCTATTTTTTTCTTTGAAATTCGAAAGTTGAGATTTTTTCAACAAATTCGGTGTTTTTTTTCTGCTTAATTGCGTTCATTCTAACGATTTTTGAACCGTTCTTCCAACTTCTTGATTTTAATCGAAAACTACTTCCCAATATGAGTTCATAGTATCAATGGAGAGAACAGGTTATGTGAAGCCACCGTGCATAAGTGGCTAGTCCCAATTTGTTGACATAAAAGTAATGGCCCTCGGAAAAGTCAAATTGATCTTAGGAAAATTGTGATTTTTTTCACCATTTCTGAAACTTTTGACTATTCTACCCTCCCTGAAAACTACCCTCTCAAATCTGAGATTTTCGGTCCAAAAGAGAGGACGAGTTGTGAGAAGCTACCCTGCATTAGCAGCTACGCCCAACTGTTTTTACACCAGCAGTTATGGCCCTCGGAGATGTCAAAGTTTCGATTTTTGACCGTTTTTGAAACTTTGTGACTTAATTATCGAAAAGTTGCCCTCCCAAGTTACCCTCCCAAATCTGAGGCGGCAAAAATATATCATCATGAGCGCACATCGTTTAACTTTTGGACCTATTCCCGGCTTTTTGACTTTTAAGAAATTGTTATTTCAATAATTTCAAAGTAATAATTTTTTAACCTATTTTTTAGTTGAAAATAAGCCATCAACTTGTAAATTGAGCAATTTTTGCTTGTTCCGATTTCTTATATTGACAGTTTTCGCATCAGTACGTGTTCTTAGAAAATATCAAACAAGAGTTGTTTCAGCTTCAGCTGGTCTAATTTACTTTGCATTCGCTACTGATATATCTATCGTGGTATGTTTTTTGACTAAAGTTTCAGCTTATTGGATGTCGGCTTCAATTCTGTAGGCTTGTTTACCGATTTTTGTTCTTCATATGTAGTACTGTGACATCAATTTTAATAGCCGAAAATTAACCTCAATAGAACTTCTTTGAAAAACTTAGAATAAATTCAAACACAGAAAAATGCTTTTTGTTTTTAAATTTTCTCAATCGATTTTCCATTACTTTCAATATTAACCTTGTTCGAAGTTCTATTTGCTTATTTTTTAAGCGTTGTGGTGCGCTCATCCTATAATTGTTGTATCGCAAGTGGTGCGAAGCTCAGCTTCGCCTCTGTGTCAAGCAAGTGTAGAAAAAATAAGTAATTAGTAATTATAAAATATCTGTTCCCTAATATTGACCCGAAAAAGCAAATGGCTTTTTTTGGTATTTGTTGGTAAATAGCAAAACTTGGTACGATGTTAAAGTAATCATGTTTTTTGTTCTAATTTTGAACTGTTGAATTGTTTTCATTTTAAACTGTTAACTTGTTTTAACCTCCTTGTTTTCGAGATATCGCAGTTTTTAGAATTTTTTGTAGTTTTCTCAGTTTTCCATGAAAAATGGCAATTTAATAACAAGCAGCCCATAGATGTGAACACTAGTTTTCCCTAAGTTTTTGAAATAGATTTTATTTTTGAATATCTTAATGTGAACGAGTCTTTTTTCATTGATTATTTTGTTTCGTTTTCTACGTAATTAATCCAACCTGTAAGGGTGGTTGCTTAGAGGATTCTAGGATCCCGTTGTCTGTCCTCTCCAAGTCTTATACTTAGATGCTCTGATTGTATGTTTGAGAGGAATGAATTAAGTGGTTACTCTTATATAGGTCTTGGTGACTTGTGATTTTCTTAAAGTTCATTTCATTTCCATTTTTAAACGGAAGGCAAACTCCACTATTGAACAGCAAAATTGTGAAGGTCACGAAAAATGTGATCGAATCCTAATTTCGTGAATGGAAATTGATTATCAGATTTCCCAGTGAAATATAAAGTTTATCCTATTGATCCAGTTGTCTCAAATTGGGTTATTTTTAACAAAAAAAATGTCCGTTATAATTTGTTCTTCAAATTCAAAGAGCTTTAAGGGCAACTGGTCAGTTTTTTTTTCAGTTTCCTTGTGTTCATTACTGTTCCAGTCCAACTGTTAGTTGGCTATGTTTATTTATGTTGGAGAAATATATTCTTGCTTTCTTTAATTTTAAATTGTATCAAAGCTAAGTAACTGTCGCTACATGACTTGAAAATGTGTTTAATCCGCCACCCATTCATACACGTGTCAGTAAAATCTGAGCAATCCATTTTTTCTCAATTATGTTTAAGATTTATCAAAAGAGTGTCAACCAAGAAAGAGCCTTGAAGTTAAAATGCTTTCAGTTATTGTAAACGGTTCGATGAAACTCGAAAAGTTTCTGAAAATTGTCGCGCTTTGCGTTGTTTTTCTGGAGATCATTAACACTTTCCGAGCTGTCTATGAGCTGAGTTTGATAGATATCTTATGTGAAGTTTTATTAAATGTTATAATCATCAAAAATTTCAATAAAACATCGTTTTAGGTCATTCAACTACAGCAGAAACTACACATCTGAAGACGAAACGACGACAACAACAAACAATAGCGGGTCAAACAGAAAGTTTTCGACAATGAGAGAAATATACACGAATAGCACCTTTAACGCCCCATCAGCCCAGTTGTCGAATGGGGGCTCTTGTCGCGAGAAATTTTCAGGTGTTCCGGTTGTCGCCAGTGGAGTAGGAGGTGGGGGAGATAGTTTGAATGAGAAGACAACGGGAGGTTTTGTGGCATCATCAATGGGGGGCCATTCTGTAGCTATTAGACCGAAGACTATCACTCTGACGTGGATGGCGAGCAACGGCGAAGATACAAACACGACGACGAATTGTAAGAAAATAGCAGTTGTATATAGTTTTCTGTAACAATGTATCTGTATGCTATTGTATGATATGATATGTTGAATTCCACTCAAACTAACGTCTAAAACAAAAATGGTAAATAGACACGTTTTCTCCGTGACGAATGCGGGCGTTAATTTTGTGATGTATTGTTGTTTCAACTGCTAAAATTGGGGAGGAACTTTGTATTTGGGTGTGTTTTAATTTCTTTTAAATTTCTCCCCGCTAAAACAGATACCACAAATAATCTAGAGAATGCGTCTAGTGATTTGTCGTGTTAAAACACTTTCTTGGCGTCGAGAAAAATTGAAAACAGAAACAGTTAGTCAGAAATAGAAAACAGAAAAATCGGTTTCAAATTTTTGCTATTTAAACAAACTTAGAGCGAAGAATGAAGAGGCATTTTTATTTCTAGTAATTTCTAGTACTCCAGCGAACAATAGAGCGACGAAAGAAAAACAATTTAACCTTTTTCTATGATACCCAATCATCTAGATCTTATGATACACGATCGTCTAGGACTATTTAAAAAGTTTATCACAACAGTCATAACGTATATCAAGGGTAAGCAACTCTGTGTCATTAATGCTCGTAGGTTGAAATTTATATATACTTTGTCACAACAAGTTAGTTTTTCCGTCAACTTGTTGGTTTTTTCGTCAACCAGTTATGTCTTGGGCAAGTCTCTAAACGTTTTTCGATGTCTTCTAAACGCCTATACTTTTATATGTAATTTATATTTATAATAAAAGAAAGAAGTTATTTTGTGTGAGTGTGTGTCCCTGTGTCAGTGTCTCTGACCGGCCTCCTTTTAGCATAACAAGCGCACTACCGGGAATTTTTTTATGAATGTCAGTTTTAGTTTGATTGCTTTATGTTATTTTGTTTTTGATAGTAATGAACGGGCTCTTTTTCCTTTTCCCTCCATCTCACTCAAACATGAATTTTATGGTCTAACGAGTGGTTTTACAAGGTTAATTATGAATATCAAATATGTTTGTCATGCCCCAATTAATCCGCATGTCAATTTTCATGACAATCGGACAAATTGAACAGTAACTTCAAAAATAAAAATTTGCAGGTGCGGGGGTGGGGGGGGGGGAGGGAAAATAGCCAATGAACGTTGTAAAGAATTTTATATAGAGGTATTCGTGATTTTTTTTCAGGAAAATTTTGATTTTTCGCGTTTAGCCTTTTCGATTTTTTTTTCAGTTCATTTCTATTGGTAAAAGGGAGGCAAACTCCACTATCGAATTTCAAAAGTGTAAAGGTAACAAAAAACAAGATCGATTTCTAATTTGAAATTCTATGAAAGTGGATGTTAATGTTCAATTTTCCCAGCGGAAATAAAGGGCTCTTTTTCCTCTCCCCCCCCCCCCCCCCCCCAACTCCCACGATCATCAATTTTATGGTGTAACGAGTAGTTTCACAAGGTTAAATATGAAGACCAAAAGTGTTTGGCATATCCTAGTTATTCATGTCAATTTTTATAATGATCGAACAATGTGAACAGTAACTTAACGAGTAAAAAATTGCAGGTGGGGAAAAGAAAAAAGAGCCGAATAAAGTTTTACCTGCTGATCCTGTTTGCACAAATGGGGTTAATTTTATCAAAAAACGGCCGTTCATAATTTTTTTTATTCAAAGAGCTTTAAGGTCATATAGTGTAAAGGTAACGAAAAACAAGATCGATTTCTAATTTGAAATTCTATGAAAGTGGATGTTAATGTTCAATTTTCCCAGCGGAAATAAAGGGCTCTTTTTCCTCTCCCCCCCCCCCCCCACCTCCCACGGCCATCAATTTTATGGTGTAACGAGTGGTTTTACAAGGTTAAATAGGAAGACCAAAAGTGTTTGGCATATCCTAGTTATTCATGTCAATTTTTATAATGATCGAACAATGTGAACAGTAACTTAACGAGTAAAAAATTGCAGGTGGGGAAAAGAAAAAAGAGCCGAATAAAGTTTTACCTGCTGATCCTGTTTGCACAAATGGGGTTAATTTTATCAAAAAACGGCCGTTCATAATTTTTTTTATTCAAAGAGCTTTAAGGTCATATAGTGTAAAGGTAACGAAAAACAAGATCGATTTCTAATTTGAAATTCTATGAAAGTGGATGTTAATGTTCAATTTTCCCAGCGGAAATAAAGGGCTCTTTTTCCTCTCCCCCCCCCCCCCCACCTCCCACGGCCATCAATTTTATGGTGTAACGAGTGGTTTTACAAGGTTAAATAGGAAGACCAAATGTGTTTGGCACATCCTAATTATTCATGTCAATTTTTATAATGATCGAACAATGTGAACAGTAACTTAACTAGTAAAAAAATTGCAGGTGGGGGGAAAAGGAAAAAGAGCTAAATAAAGTTTTACCTGCTGATCCTGTTTGCTCAAATGGGGTTAATTTTATCAAAAAACCGCCATTCATATTTTTTTTTGAAATTCAAAGAGCTTTAAGGTCATATATTTTTTAAAATTCGAAAGTTGATGTTTTTCCTATTTTTTTCTGTTTCTTTGCGTTCATTATTCTTTTCCCAATGTGAGTTGGCTATTTTAAATTTTGTCTATCTTTCTGGGAAACATGGGGTGGAAAATTGAGTTATGTGACTTCTAATCGTTTCGGCAGTTCATTTCCAACAGATGTTTATAAATGAGCACGTGCATTTTCAGGAATAATTTGGTTCACTTTGATTTTAAATTATGCCCCCCCCCCCCCCGTATATTTAATGAAAAGATCTGAAACTTGGATATTGAGATATTTTTTGACCTTCGAATTATAAGCATTATTTTCCTGTCTTTGTTCCTATAACAGGTACATGCATGAGATTAATGTTGAACTTCAAAATAGCATCATTTTTTTTGCTTAACCCAAATTTTTTGCTTTTTCGCTGCTTAAATGAAAATAAATTATGGTGCACCTCGACGTTTTCCACTTTTCTAGATCACATGCCAATTAAAAATTAATACTATGCAACAGTAGTTCAATTTTTTTTTCTCTCAGAAAATGTTATTAGGAAAGTGAAATTGAGTTAGGTGCCGGGCCGCAAATGGCTACACAGCTAGTTTTTTAATTGAGTATTTATTAGTTCTTTATTCTGGTCCCTCCCCGCTCAAAAAAAACAATTTTCATGTATTTGAAAATTTTCATGTATTTGAAAATTTGTTTCTGGCAAAACTACCGATCGGAACTTAATGTGCTACTTGCGGAGCAGCCGGCTACTCTTGTTATCAATGTGCGTCGGACACTAAATAAAAGAACGATGATTTTTAACTTTCATGCGCTTATTTTTGGCCGGTTCATTGTATGGCAGTTGAAGAAATAATACAATCACTTTAGCAAAAAAAAATGTCTGACGCTTTAAATTTTATTTCAAATTTCATAGTGAATTATGTTAGTTTCATAATTTTATGTGCTTTTTGTAGTGCCTTTAGAGGTCAATAGTTAATGTGGACGTTTGCTCTCTATCAATAAGGTACATCAAAAATATGGACCAATTAGGGATTTCATATAGTTTGATGAGTTAGTGTAAGTGTCGAATGAACTTACAGATTGCATTGCGATTGTTTGTCCTGCATATGGGTCTCTTGATCCATACCCACCCCCCGGGTACATTGCCTGTAGTCCATTCTGAGTCCTAGTATAGTCGACGGCATCTATTTCACTCCATTTCTTACGATAGAAAGACCGACACAGTTGCAGAATTGTGAATAGCGTAGCACAGAAAGCGCCAAACAGCAACATCCAAACTAACAGTGTGGCGCCGGCTTCTAGTTTGTACTTGGTGTGATCGATTTGAAGTTCAGTGCTAACTTCCAGACCAGGAGACAAATTGGAAGTGTTGGTTGCCATCAAGCTGCTGTTTTGGTTGTTGTTTCGATTGAGCATACTTGAGTTATTGGAGAAAGTCATGTCATATAAGTTAAAGCTATTGACTGTTGATGAACGGAAAGACATGATGATGTCAATGAGTACTAAAAGCGGATTTTTGAAAAAATAATGATTTGGTGCGATAAAAATACCTGTGACGTGAAAGTTATTCAATCAAGATGCCGAAGTTGGAAAGGCGGAAACAAGAGCTACCGACTTCAAGATATTAAAAGGTTTAATGGATAAGATAGAGATAGCAAATGGACGTAAGGACGATGAAAATATTGATAAACGGTGGAAATAAATTTCGATTAAAAACAGTCACAGGAAACGTTTTGAACTGCGTAGGTAGAGTTATTTTCGGTTTTATTCGGTGTCCCAGGACAAATTATCAATGACCGTCTGCTATATATTAAAATTAATACAAGATAATTTGATTCTTTTTTTGTCGCTCTCATGATATCGGATGACTGATGAAAGACTAATAAAGTGTCACTGGAGGTAAAACAGGAGGCTGTTTTCATGATGGAAGGTTAGAATGGCCGAAACTAATCAAATTCTTTTCAAAAATAGACACCAAATTTGATCACATTATTAAACGCTCAAATCCGAAGGTGAAAGAAAATTCCTGCTTTTTGTGTCACGGTTTTATACGAGTAAATGATTTTATTCAACATCCAGTTTTGGCGCTCGTTCCTCCTCAAATTTAATGTATAATCGAGATAAAGAGCATTCCGGAATATTTTTTTAAAATCAAAGGTGCTGGGTCACTTTGTTTTGGGTAAATCCAATCCAAGCTATGTATTTGATCATTATTGCCATTTATGTGTTATTGTTTATGAAAAGAATTCTTTGTTGCATATGTGCACGCAATTTTCCGTGAGCAAATTTTTGCAATTCCTTGTCCTAAGTAGTTTGGATGCTATAAACCAAGAATCACTTTAATTTGTGCTAACAGAAAGCATGAAAATAGGATTTTCAATAAAAAATTCATAGAAAGCATGAAATTGATATTAAAAAAAAGATGTCCAAGATGGGGGGGGGGGAGTGGATTTTCAGAAAAATTTTGAAAGTTTTGTCGATCTTTTTTTAGGTTCACCAAATTGATTGTCTGCGCTCTCCC